TCCTGGCTTCCTCTCCTCTCTCTGGTAACATTACTCTCAGCATACAACTCTAAAGAGTTTTACAATGCTTGAGAAACAATTTACTCTGAACTCCCTCGGTTTCGTTTCTTGGATAGTTGCTACTTGATAAACTAGTTGATTTTGATGCTGCTACAGTAATAACACAAAGTCATCCACTATTATCTTAGTCTCCAGCTGGTGAAGAGCATCAGTGTAAAGAGGGTATCTGTCTTTACAAACAAGGTTTGTAAAAACAAATTGGGAAATTACTTATGAGTCTACTGGGAAAGCCATGTGATTTAGGTTGGGGGGAAAACAGCCAAAGCGTCTGAAACATCTTTCATGTAGGGACATACCTATAGTATACTGCTTAGAGCATTGTTTTAGTAAAAAGTAACTCTGTAAGTGTTTAACCTTTATTAGCCTAAAGTATTGGCTGTTAAATACAAATATATACCCTCTTCCTTCTCTAGAACCTTTAGATCAGACATGTCACTTACGTTACTTAAATTCTAAACTTTTAGTATCTTGAGTTAGTAGTTGGCTTGCTAAAAACAATGCTAAGTTTGTATGTTACTTTTTTGCTATTTGTCAAATAGACTTTTCTGAGCATATACCCTCTAAAAATTTAAAATTCTATTACAATTATTATATTATATTACATTATATTACATTATATTACATTATATTACATTATCTCTACTTTTTTCCATGCATCAAAATTATTTAAGATCAGTTGTCCTTGTAAATAGCACATCTTACTCTTCCATATTTGGAAAAGCAAACCTAAATATTCACATAGCTACCCTAAGGTTTAGGCAGAGCTGTAGAAAACCACATTTATGAATATCTGATTATTTTCTTATCATCACTCTGAAGAAGCAGTCTTGTTTGTTCATCATTTCAAAAAGTATGCTTTAAGCTGGCAACAAGTTCACAGTCTGTCTCTTCTTAGCATCCCCTGAAGTAACATTTGCTCAACCATCTTGTAGGGCAAATAGATCAACTGTTGACTTTGTGCTCTTTAGAGATATATTTCTATACTAATTTCTACTGAGACGCTGACAAGTTTGCCATGCTAAAGATTACAGATTCCCAGGACTCATCTCCTTCCCATCAGCAGCTAAAGTGTGCATATGGGGAAAAATAAAAGAAAATAGTTATGAATGCGAGATACTGTTAAAGAATGCAAAGGAAATTTCTTTTTGAGACTGAGCAGGAAGTGAATATGAGAGAAAAGTATATTGAGGCAAAATGTTATTCTCATTTTCCCAAAAAATCTGAAAATTCATGATCAACATCAAAATGGTTCTAGTATTCAATCAACACTACTTATACATGAGTCTAAGAATGTTTATTCTTGTGAGTTGTCACTGCAAAGGTAACTCATTCTGGCTTTTCTTTAGGTTTGCAATTTTGAATCTCTAGCACACATTAGGAGTTAACTGTAATTCAAAGCACGTGTTGACACTTTACAAAGAAGCACATGGCTAGGCAATATATAAGCTATAAATAAATTACCATCACAAGAACTTTCTGTTCTTAAACTCAGTCTTTGGAAAAATCTGTAAGAAAAAAATAAATCAACAATTTTGGTGCTTAGTCAGAAAAAAGTTGCTCCTTCAAGTGAGATCTCAGATAACTTTCCAATAGTAACTTCCTGCAATGTTTTGGATGACCAGTTTGTTTGTAACAATTCAAATACCAAGCACTATATTAATACACAAAGGCAGCAACTTGCTTTATTTTCAGAGACAATCTTCTAGGATCTCATCAGTTAAAAATCAGCAGCCCTATGTGACTAAGCACCAAAAATGTTAAAACACAAATGTACTTGCACAGATGTTAAGATGCCAATGCAATGTGTACCTGCAATTGTTACAAAACAACATGGAAAAGATTTAAAAGGGATTTAGAACGGCCACTGCACTTGTTTTCAGTAATACTGAATATCAATGAGCAAGACACAAACTGCAGTAATGAGTTTGCATTTTTATACTGCCCTTCAGGCATGGTCATAAATTATTTTGTCAGCAGCACTTGAAGGAGTCGCCAGTGGCACTCTCCCTTTAATCTACTCCCACCCTCATCATCATGACTCACTGTTCACTCCCACGGTCTTACCACAGATTACTTGCTTCCACCCAATACACTTATTTTAAAGGGCCATGGATCTAACTTTTTCACAGATGAAGTTTAATGAACAGTCAGATGGAAGCATCTGAAAAGACTCAACTATGAGGATGGCAATTCCTGGAAGTAAAGCAGAACAAAATATTGGAATGTACAGCTTCAGACCGGATCTGATGTTGATAGAGGAATAAAGTCTAATTACAACCTTGACCTTCAAAGAGCCTTGTGCACCTTAACTACTACTAAAAGACTTTACATTAAATTTAATTCGTAAGTACAGGTTCCCTCCCTATCATCCAGTTTATCATAGGTATCATAGGTTCTTGGAACCACTTGAACTGCATCTATGATTTCAGAGTAGCAGGATAAGTAGTCAAGATAGCTTTCAGCTTATTCAAATACACTGTCAGGAATAACAGTTCCAAATTTCGGAGACAAATACGGATACCTATCCTGCATGAACGCAGGAGTCCAGAAAATCAAGAAAATCAAGAAAACCAGGAATAGCTCTCTAAAGATCAAAAAATTATGCCTACTGAGGTAGGGTAGAAATAAGCAGTTCAAGACTAGGCTGACAGGCCTGTTCCTAGTCTACTGGATAATGTTCATCACAGAACAATATTACTTTTTATTTCTTCAGCCTAAAGATAATGGGTGCTGCTTTGAAATATGTATCCTTGAACACATTTAATTTTATGCAACCCTTGAACTCATACCTGAACCATTCTTCAGGATGGAATGTATTCATGTCCATTTCAAGGACTGGTCTTTTGTGAACTGATGGGAGAATAGATGCATATTACTTAAGTATGTAATAAATAATGTAGAGGGACACGTAAGAGAAAAGAATACTTCAAAGTTTCTTTGAATCAAAGAATTTTAAGTGTTACTGATCAGAGCTCAGAATTACCTGTGGTAGAATCATAAAGTAGGGAACAGTGGCTTGACAATACAAAGCTAAGATGGGTAACTGCAGTCATACCTTCTTGGAGAAAAACAGGAAAATTGCATGCCTAATAATCACCTTTCTTAAAAATCTATCAATAATTTATCATCAAAATAACTGGATAAATAGAAGTTAATTTATTTAAATAATAAAAAAAACCAACCACAAAATACAATGTATATCAAAAGTACAAACTCTGCTTCAAATAACTGACTAGGAATGCACAACTCCTTGACATTATATAATAAAATCCCCTGAACTGACAGACTTGGTGAAAAGCACAAGTTCAACCAGCTTCCGCTGAAAAGGAATTCTGCTGCTGATACACCCTTTACATGGAAAGGTAAAGTACCATTAAAGTACTCCTGCAATAACTGAATCTGCATTTAAACAGGGAAGTCAGGCTAGTGATGGACTTCTCTACAAAGTTAATTATCAGGAGGTGTCCATTTTTAATCATCCTTCTAAAGACTGTGGAATTCAGCCAGAGGACAAAACTGTTCTGTAAACAGCAGCTTACTTCATTAAGTATATAAAGGATTTCAAGAGCCAAATCCCTCATCTTTGTTTGACAACCCTCCCATTTTCCTCTATTTCACCTCCTTTCTCCTTTGAAGGACACTGTATCATTGTTTGATGAGCCTCCACTATTATTAGTCTTTCCTTGCTCACAATTGGTAAGTGTATCAGAAGTTTTCCTTGGTCGAGATTAGTCTGGATTTACCACCAACTTTAATGATGCTTGGAGGAAGAATGGGTTTGGTCACTACTGAACATTCTAAACAAAATCCTTGTACTTCAACAGTCTCTTTATAATCTACTTAATTTTATTAAAAGGTGTAATAACTAGTAATTAGATCATAAGACATTAGTAGAAGCATTAAATAGTCCTACTCATAGCAAGTAGACTACTAAGCATACATTTTCCTTGCAATGCTCTTTACTTTAAAACAGGTTAAAGAAACTCTATGCTATGAGTCTGAGATTGAGTTCTTAGTGTTTTAGGAAGTGCACTGGACCTTCAGATTAATTCCTACTGTTACTGTATGATGTTAGAGCATTCCTAACCTTCTTCCTTTTGAGCAGGCACCACATTCATATGACTTATACTCAGTCTAGCTATATTAATGTATATACAATAATGGGTTATTAGGAAAGATTTACTTTTCTTCATTTCATTAGCATTTTAGTTTCATTATCCATCACTGGAACAAGCTCCCCAGGGAAGTGGTCACAGCACCAAGCTTGTCAGAGTTCAAGGAGCATCTGCACGATGCTCATAGTCATATGGTTTACTTTTAAGTAGTCCTGCAAGGAGCAAGGAGTTGGACTCTATAATCCTTATGCGTCCCTTCCAACTTCAGATAATCTATGGTTCTATGATCTACTTTGCAGTTAAGTTTCAAAGAAGGCTAAATCTAGGGAGATAGTCATTAAGCAGCAAAAAAACCAAACTATACAGAACACATTAACATAAGCAATGACAGGAAAATACTACTGGCAATGTCTTTAAACTATGCCTGTTAGAGAATGCTCTTTAAAAAGAGCAGCTTAAAGGTAAATGAATAAACAGTAACACTATAGAACAATTATTTCCATGCATTACAGGAAGAAACCACCTGAAAAGAAGAACTGTGCTGTATGAAATCAATTATTGACTCCCAGTCACAAACTCTTCCTTTTAAATTGCCCAGTTTTTCTCCTCTCAGGTGGTACAAGAGCACTCAAAAACTCCAAGCAAATGTAATGAAAAATTACAGACTACAGTACACAGTATCACAAAATTATTTTTATTTCAAAATTGTACAAAGTATAAACATATAGATATAATTGCACTGAAGTAAACCCTGCTCTTGTAAGTATTTGAATAAGCAACAATACTGCAATCAAAAAAACCTTTATTACTTCTCATTAAGAAATTTCATCTTATGGAGCGATACATCATGAAATCAATTGTTGTACATCTTGGAAATTTACCAATAGAGCTCTCTTCCACTGGGGTGTACACTTTGATTTGTCTCATGTGAGTGTCTCTTCCATTTTGGTGATTAGCAAGAACAGCAATCTGAATCATAAACGTGCGAATAGGCTTCTTATGAGTATCTGTTAAAGGAACATGAATCCAGCCACTTGGTTCCACTAATTCAAGTTGCTGCCAAAAACAAGATAAAAAAGCAAAACATTCAGAAACAGTTATTAAACTTAATATGAGTGATCACACATTAAACCTGTTTAATAGAGCTGAGTCTTGCAAATCAGATTTTAGTTACTTTTTCAAATGAATTTGTAATAGTACAGTTGAATACTTGTAGCTAATTTACTGCTGATGTAATTGGACACAAATTAATTCATAGAACAGAATCATTTAGGTTGGAAAAGACCTTTAAAATTGATTCCAGTGGTAAACCTAATTCAGTTGACTACAGTTTGCTTTTGCCTTTCCGAATCTACCCTGCATTTTGTGCCTTAACCTTAAAGCAAAAGTCAATATAAAGAAATACAGATTTGTATATAAATTCAGGAAAGTCAAAGCAATACTGTTTAGGTCTTGTTACTGAAGTACACTGCTCAAAGATGACAGATAACAGGCATCTTAAAGTTAAAATTGTTTGATCTAGGCACTCTGACCTAAAATACAAAAGAATGACTTACATAGAGAACTAAATACAAAGTCTGAGCTGTCAGAAGTTCCTTAGATTATGAGGGGGACTGAGGAGTAGGAAGAGAAAGGTGATAGAGGAAAAAAATACAGGAAAACTCACAGACTGCATCTCACCTGTGTGTCAAGACAGATGCCTGGCCAATTAATAACTGCTGCACAGCCATTTAATCACACTCCAAGGTCCATTTTGACCTGGCTTTTGTACAACAAATCAAGTGTAATATGATCATTTTTTCTTTTCTTAGTGCTACAGAAACCAATGTCAAAGCAAGCAAAGAATTGCATTTTGTTAGCTCTAAACCACATCACTGACACATCAGCACACTGAAATCAAGCTAGATGCTATGCAGAAGCATGGTAACAGCTTTTGTTTAAAGCGAGTTGCCCAACTGCAGAGCACAGCTCAAAACACATATGGAAGAGCACACAAATAAGTGGAAGTTGCAGGGCAGAGGGGGACACAACAAAACCAAGAACTCAAAAACTGTTCTCCACAAACAAGTGGATTTCACACAACTAAGCAAGTAACACTGCTGTTCTTAGCAGCTGAGGTCCTCTGCAGATCTATGCTTTGAGCAGCTTAAAATTCCCATCCTTCTCCTGAAAACACTGCAGGACAAACATCCTGTCAAATGTCTTGCTTTTGGAAGTATTCAAAAGACCCATCCAAGATCTACTGTTTCAGAGGCAGCAAACATGCTAAGAAAATGATGCAAGAAATAAGGGGGGGGGGGTAAGTTTGATCGCTACCTTTGGCTTAAAGAGGCAAAAAAAACCTCTCATATCTCCATGTTAAAAAAAAACCACCACCACACACCAAAAAAAAATCCAACAACAAAAACCCAAAACAACAACAAAAAACCCACAACCCAAAACTCCTCACTGCTGCAGGCTCTCGAACAAATTATTTCCAGAGCATTAAACACACTAAACCTTTAACAACAAATAATTTCAGTCCTGGAGCTAGACACTTCTGCAAACACACATTCACTTATTTGTTGTAGCTCTGTCCCTTTCAAAAAAATCTACAAAATCTTTTTTTGCCTAGGAAACTTCAGGGAAGAGTTGGCTTCACAAAGTGGTAAAAATGATGTACTGCTGAAGCAGCTTTTCAGAATTTCTAGTGGTGAGGCAGTAGTCAACCGTTTGAGCAAGCATGTCTTCCATCTCCACAGTGAACAGAAAGGATGAAGATCCCACTAAAATTTCATTCAAATAGTACTAAAGGTACAGTGGCTATGATTTAGAAGAGAATTAAAAAGTTAGAGCTAATGAAACCTATATTTCAATATTATTCTCACAGTTTACAAATTTTGACTGCTCAATCAAAGTGGAAAATTTAAGTTCCAGAGCTGTGACTTCGGGATTTTTATGCTTGGATCAGTATGAAATGGATTAGTTAATACAGTAAAAAACCAAAAATGTACCACTTTCTATAGGTTGACATCATTGGTTTCAGACAGACTTTATACAGTTCAGGTTTGTATGTTTTACTGGTAAAGAAATTGCAAGAGCAAAAAAATTACTTTGCCTCCAGAACCAAGACAGCTATGAAAGGACTGGCAAAATTAGACTATTTGTACAAAAGGAAGTTGGATGCTTATTTAATTCAGAGAGAAAATAACATCTTTTGTTTTAAGAGAATTATTAGGGTCAGAAAGATAAGCACTGGAAAGTTAAGACTTGCAAAAGTAATTTTATTAATGCAATAATGTACTTTATGTAATAAGATACAATTTTTGTTTACATATTTATCAATGCTTTGTTTCATCCTTGATCAATAGGAGGTGGTCATATGCTTCATTTATAGCACATTATTTTTCAGTCCTGCTACAAAGGCAATCAATGTTTTTACAAGCCGTTCTAGAGATGGGACAAACAATTTCTACATCTGTAAAACAGACAATTGAGATTAGGTTAATTAAAATATTCCCTAGTTCCAGATGTCAAATTTTGCATACTGTGAATCAAATTTTTACTGTCCTTAGCCACATGAAGTATTTTACATTATGTTTAGCTCCCACTGAGTTCACTTACAGTTATAAGTGTCTGGATTTCTGCAAATTGATAAGAGCTCTGCAACCAGCCACTGGAACACACAGTATCTGCAGCCACTAGGAAGAGTTATAAAAACTCGCATCGTATAGAAACACCATGACTAAGCACAGATGGCACACAGTTCACAAAGCAGTGTTCAAATTGTCTTAGCCACAAAGCCTTTTTGTTTATTCGTGAGATCTCCTCTGCTTCACTTAGTCCACACGTTTCAACTCCTGTAACAGATGAACATATATCCTTTAGTGTCCTCAAAACAGAGCCCTTCCCTCATTCCGATCAAAGAGTTGCCTCTTGGACAAAGCATGTGACAGTTGTCATGAAGCTGGAGGTTGTACTACAATGTGTTAAGTGCAAGAGGTCTGAGTTAGAATTAAATGCTTGAAAAAAATGAGCTCATGATTTTTGCCCTCTAAATTACTGTGTAATTGCCCTCTAAAGTACTGTGACATTTTCTGAGGCTTAATTTTTTTTTAAAATTGATGCTTACATATTTCAGTAAAGTGACTAAAGCCTTGAGATGCACTCAGCTACTGAAGCTTAAATAGAACAAAACCTAACGATTATTATCTAAACATCCACCAAAAAAGGAAGGAACATTTTGCCAGTATGATACACACATCTTCTGTGACCAAAGGAAGGGTACAAACCAGACACACACACACACACACGCTCCTAAATTCTTCTCCTCCACATTTGTCATGCTCTTTCTGATGAGCGAGACAGTTTCTTTTTGCAGAGGGCCCAGGTCGTTCCCAACAGAGAAGGAATACAACATGGGAATAGGCAGTGGTGGTACAAGACAAAATGCTGCCCACTCTTAGTTCAATGTCAGCACCTAGATCCAGCCATTACAATTTATCACAGAAGTGGGATGAAATATGCAGCTCAAAACTCTGCCTGGAGCATTCCCAGTGTGAACAGAATCTAAAGGAAACTTACTGTGAAGTTTTAAGAAATCCCTATTAAGGCCATGCAAATGGCAATCTTTCAAAGCCTTGTAAACCGGTCTGGAAATCTGGGTGGATTTTTACAGGGAGGCAAAAGGCACATCCTCAACACAAAGGCTGAACTCTTGCCAAATTTCAAATCCTTGCTTCAGAGCTTGGGGGCACTGGAGCATCAAAGAAGGACACCAGAATATTCTCACACAAGCAAAACAACATACTTTTCACGAGCCTTATTCTTGGAAGAGAATTGCTTTGGCTGAAACTTTCAAAAAAATTCAACCCAAGGCAGACATCTGGCATGGAAAAATCTCAGTCTGAACTGAAATCTGGCAAAAGTTATAAAGTAGTTACAAGTTAAGCCTTAAAATGGAAAGGGTCACACAACCTTAAGTGCAAGTGGCACTAGCTGCTCTACCTATAGTAAATACTACACTTTCAATTCATTTGAGTTGGCTTTGCCAACAACCTTGCTCTTTAAAAGCACATATCATCATATACCTATATAAATATATACATACATACATACATATATGCGTGCATGTTTGTCACCCCAACTCTACAGCATAAGTCCACTATGAAAAAATACACATTAAGTTTCTTCCTGTATTTTTTCCTCCTATCTAGGTCATTAAGAATCAGTCTGTACAATTAACCGGCTTCCAGGAAAGTTGTAAAAGTCAGTTATATTACTAATTATCTGAGTGAAATTAAAATTTGGAAGTTTGTTTCTGTTATAAATTTTACGAGCAAAGGTTAAAAAGGGGAAACAAAGAAAAGAATCAAAGCAAGTTCAATATTAGTAACTCAGGACAATTACTGCTGCTCTAGACTAATCTTACACAGAATACACTAAAAGCCCATGGGTTTTTTTTAAAGTGTGCTTCTAATACTATAAATTTTGTGACAATTTGTAAAAAAGAGCATGAAAGTCAAAATAAAGGAGCAAAGGGATAAAAACTGAAATAGAAAATCACTCACCTGTCCTTTGCTGCAGTTACATACTCTTATCTATCTCTTCTCCTGCTTTCACTCCATTGCTCTCTTATTTTTCCTGTTTCTCTGTGTGCTACAGCTTTACCTATGGACATATACTCCCAACTCCAGTAATGCATGTTATTTTGAAAGCCAAAGCAGAAATAATGTTCTCAATGGAAAACTTATCCCCAGTCAACTTAATGGCCCTGTTTCTTCACTTTATTGTACAGTCCAGAGGTTCTACAGAATTCCATACACACCTGGCCAAGCTAGTAGAGCAACTAATGGGTGCTCTACCACAGACAATGCAACCCACACAATGAAATAAAAATAAAAATCAAGACAAAAGCAACTTGAGGCTACATTTTGGAAAGATGACTGAACACAAGACCAGAACTTTTAAGAGTAAGCTTGTTCTAACACTGGTATTGCTGGCCTCCATATAGTATAGGAAATTATTTATTCCAACAAGGCTTTTCTATTGTAATTAATCCTACTTAAATTAAATAC